GGGCAGCCGCGGCCGCCGAAGGAGGGGCGAGCTCGGCTGCAGCTCCCTCGTACTGCGCGAAACCGGGAGTTAAAAGAGCTAAAACTCGTGTTTTCTGTAATTTCACGGTGTTGAACGCCGAGATGTCTTCTCCGAGCTGCGTTTAGTGGCTCGGGTTTTTGTTTCCGCTTGTCACCGCGTCCGTCTGGGGACGGCGGCTGTGGGCATCGCGACTAGAAGAGGGGGTAACTCTGAGGTGATTTGAGGAACTGGTTATAAAATTATTGTGTTTTGAATGATCGGTGACTCAAATGCACTCATTTCCTAGAGAAAACATAAGGTTTTTTTACCAAAGTTGGATGGTTGTTTTTTTTTAATGTACTGGTTTCTCAAAAGAGGACTCTAGCGCAGCAGCTCGCTGACTTCACCCTGTGATTAGGATTTGTCATGCGTGTTTTTACCTCCAGTGACACTTAATAGATGAGGCCGCAGCAGTTGAGGTACCTGCGCTCCGCTTTTCTGGCACGTAGCAGCCGGCGCAAGGAGTCCTCTCCGCTGCCTCAGCGTTACAGGTGTGCTCTGTGCGGGGACCCGGTGTACAGCGCGCTGCGGCCCAGCATCGCCTAACGGCCCCAGTCAAACTGCACGGTGAGGGAGAGAAAAGGGTGGCTTTTGGGTCGGCGAAGGTGGTAGGAGTAGTTTCTGTGATCACAGAACACTGCGGGCTGTGGGATCCTCACAGGCGAAGAGAGCCTGTCTGCTCTTTGTAGTATTCCTCTGCTTCCACTTGGGACACGCAGAAAAATATAACTCACAAGTTATTAAAACTGCAGTAGGAAACTTGTTTCCAGCCTTTGCTGGACATGTTTGCTACTTTGTGAGCAGATCCACGTGCCAGTAATCTTGAAACCAAAAACTTAGAAGAATAAATATTTGCCTTCTCTTATTAATACGTTCTCATTTTCCTGAAAGAAGCTGTGGTTCTGTTAAGGGATTGAGTTACTGCCAAACCCTGTGTGCGTCTCTTGATAATTCTGCAGATAATCTTCTCTGTGCTGGTTTTAGGGGGGTAGGGTACCTGTAGGGCAACGTGCGTTATGTTTAGGTGTTGCGATGACAAAGAAATCACTCAAAAATATGCAGGTGTTGCACTTGCTACGTTTCTAGTTAGTGGCTGTTTTAGTCCTGCTTATTTTTAATTCTCCCTTGGTTCTGTCTTTCCATGGGAGCGTTGCGTTGCTGGAGGGAATCAGCTTAGTGGTCTTGTGAGTCGCAGCAAGGCTGACTTAGCCCTTCAGCTTGGCAGGGATGGATCAGGTGAACTGCACCCAGGTTACTTTAGTTGCCTTTTTCTTTAGAAGTGACTTTAAAGGCAGGATTTGCCCATTTGCTACAGATATTTGGGGTTTCTTTTATCATATTGTATAAGAATAGGAGCTTGTACTATGTCCCTAAAGAAAATTTCACTTTGTCTTCTGCTGTTCAGTCTTGGATAGAAAGTGGATGTTCTCGATACCAGAGGTAGCTGCATTTTGGTACACTGCATTTTGGTATCTGCGTCAATGTGTACACAAATATGTACAGAAAGGGCTTGGTGCAAGAGCTTGTCTTTTTTGTTGTTGTTTGCTTTTTTCCAGCTATATAATATTGATTTATAGCCACAAAGTGCTCTTACAAGCCCTGGAAACTCCCACTCGCTTTAAGTGTCTTTAGCTCAGCCAAGCTGTCCCATTGAAGCTCAGCAAGACTCCTTGTGTAACTGATAAAGGATCGAACGCGTAATTTGCAAAGTGCTTTGCAATCTTTTTGGTAGAAGGTGGTGATAAATGTAGGATACTGTTAAGCTGATTATAGTGATTAGAGTATTTCACAATTTTTTATTTCACAACTTTTTGTATTTGTAGTATATTTCAATCTCTGAATGCATCTGGGTAAATAGATGAAAAGAAAGCTTATTATCGGGGAAGGGGTGTGATGGTGGTGAGTTTCCCAGTTCCCACTTTTTGTGTTTGTTTGGTTTTTTTAAAAAATATTTATTTATTTATTTTAAACTGATACCGAATCATTAAAAAATGCTGAGTTTGGGATTATTTAAGGGAAAAAAAAAAAGCCACTCCTCTCTCCACCAATCTGCAGTAATCTATTGTTACGCTTGCTCTGGAAAGAAAACTGTTTGAACTGTTTTAAAAGTCAGATTTAAAAGTCAGACAACGTTCCCTTGAACTGACTTAAAAGATGAAATGTGTATTTTACTAATTGAAGCAAAATATATTAGATTCTCTAAGAAGGTAGGACAGCATGTCCCACTTTCACCTGTCGGCAGAATATCCAAGTAGTCGTGGTGCTTTCTTGTTTCCAGCAATCTCAAAATGTTCAAAGTAAATATACTTTTTTTTGTACACTATAACCTAAAGGCAAAACGTCCAGTTTTTCTATCCTTTCCCAGTCATCTGTTGAGGGTGTTGCAAACTAGTGTCGCAAATTATTTCAACAGTAACTAGACAGTAAGTCTTTAGGCTTCTCCTGTCAGAAAAATTCACTGCCAAACTGATTTGAGGTCCCTTTAAGCAGTTTCCCTGTGTAGTGTATAACTAATCAGCAGCTTCTAGGTAGTGTTTTCAGATATACCCTGAGAGTGAAGGCACCTTCTGAAAGCTCTGGGGGAAAGAGATGTTTCATTAATTCACATTTTCGAGTCCCACTTGGGAACTGGAGCAGGTTGGGACTCAGTAGTATTATGTAGGATGTGCTTCAGGTTTTGTAGGTGTTAGACCAGTAAGCGTGTGTAACTTTTTTTTTTTTTTTTTCTGGGTTGAATTCAGAGCCTGAGCAGCTCCGTTGTGCTCTTAAACAGCTTTGCGATTTTATATAGGCTGGTGTAATCCAGCTGAGTTTGGTCAAATTAATCCTGATTTACATTGAGTGTGAGTAAGATCAGAATTAGGTTTCTGGGCTTTTTGTGTTGACTAATCCCTGCAGTGCACTGAATCAGAATATGAACCCTGTGAAACTGGGGCAGCTAATTTGGAAGAACTTTAGGAATGTTTTTCATGTGTTCTAACAGGTGGCTTTTTTCTTTCTTCTTTCTTCTTTTTTTTCATGATTGAAGTAAAAGACCCGTGTTGGTTCTTCAGAATGACTCTCTCTACTCTCAGAGACGTCCTTACACCAGTGAAGATGAGGCGTGGAAAACCTTTCTTGAAAATCCCCTTACAGCAGCTACCAAAGCTATGATGAGCATCAATGGTGATGAAGACAGCGCAGCTGCCCTCGGATTGCTGTATGATTACTACAAGGTAGATTGGTGTCGGTATGCTCTGGCAGCCAGCAGAGCTCTTGTTCCACCTGTGGAAAAGGTGTCATTTGCTAGAGGATTTTACAGAAGCTATGAATAGATCACGAGGACTTTAAACTTATGTGGGTTTTAAATGGAAAAAATTCCATATCCCTTTTTCTGAAAATTGGTTTGTTTTTAGCTAAGTAAAATAAGATCCCTGGGATCTTAATGTAATGGGTCAAAAGCTTCAGTTGCACTTTGCCTGTCAACTCCAGGTTCTGCAGGAGGCAATGTATCGCAGAAATAGTCATGAAGAATGAAACTTTGGGAGGGTGTCTGTATCTGAATGTAAATACACATGGAGAAAGAAACTTTTTTTGCTTGTGTGATCCCTGTTCTGGTGGGACCATTGGCTTTTGCTGGGATTTTGATGTGCTACCTTAGTCTCAGCTGATAGTAAGCTATAACTACAGATTTTTGGTGATGTGGGTGGTAGAAGTGTCCATCTGAAGGAGTCGCTTCCTGCATCCCTCTAACCTTCAATGATCTTCAGATGCCCTAATCTGTTAATCCTTTGGCAGCTGTGGTTGTTTTCCCCAGTGTTCACGATCCTCTGAGACGTGCACCTTCCTAGATGCTCACAGGTGAATTGGGCATAGTCAAACAGATAACCTTCTAGTTTGTGTGGGATACATTTTGCTGACCTTCCTTTCCTAAATACCGGAAGTCTGAGGCAGGGTAGTTCTCTCCAGTCCATGTCCAAGTCAGTGAAGGCCAGCAGGCATTTCCAGGCAAGGAGGCGTCCTGCTCATGTTAGAGGCCTGCGTTACGGTGGCTTGGCTCACTGGGTGGAGATGCCTGTTTTTTCTTTGCTGAGCGTGCAGGAGGCTGACTTGGCTTGTGTGCCTGATACTTTGGCTAGTGTCTTTTAACAATAGTGAGTGCGGTTGCCACTATCGCTATGTTCTGCAAGCACAAGGAGAGGCTGCCTTGTGCATACAAAATCCTTGCCTGTCCTTTTAAGAGTTGAGTGTGTCTTACATATCAAAATATTCTTTTAATGCTTAGTATGGAGATTAGCACTCCACACGCACACGACAAAATGCCACGAACTCACTGATGTGGATGTTATTCAGCTAGTTTTGTGAGAAAACTGGCTTTCTGCTTTGTGCCTGTGCTTGCTATGCTCTTGGAAAAAAAACCAACGCTTTCACCAGAATGGTTTTAATCCATGAAATCAATTTTGATTTCTAAACCTGTAGATGACAGAGAGAATGTTGATGTTGATCCTTCACACTTGGCAAAGCAGTACGGATTTTCTGTATGTTAACATCTAATTTGGGGTTTCCTCTTAGTTTGGGTGTCGGTGGGCATACAGAAAAGTCAGTGGAAGAACAGGTATGCCACACACTTGCGTGAAACAAAATGGGTAGAGGTTGAAAGATATATTGAGAGCTGTTATGAAGTAATGCTAGAGGGACAATGTCTAGGCATTTCTAATACGCCCCCTCTGCAATATTAAAGGCAGCTGATGAGATCACCTTTGTATTAAAAAAAAACAAACAAAAACCAAACCCAAAACAACAAAACAAACAAAACAAACAAAACCAAAACAACTTGAGTTTTCTTCCATTTGACTAATGGACTACTCTGATAGCTCAGCTGTGGTTAATAGGGCCTTATGGGAAACAAATTTTTGATCAAAAGCTAGAGTTTAGGAGTGTTGGACTTGAGGCCAAACGCAGCTTGGAAGACCCTTGTTTTCAGTGACTAATTAGCGTTGGCTTCCTAGCAGCCTCCAGCTAGAGGTTCCCAGAATTTTGCTGGTTCCTGGGGAAAATCCAACAATTCTGGTGTTATTAGAGGTGCCAGGTTATGTGGAAAAGCCCGGACTTGGGTTTTAGTTGGGGACTGTTCACACAGGTAGGCCATCTGTCTTCGAATTAGTAGTAAAGCAGTGGTTCCCCACACTGCACCCAAGCTGGCAAATGCGGGCAGTATCTGAGCAGGCTTCAGCAAAGGAAAGTGGTGGGAGTTTACTCCTCACGCTGCGAAGTGTTTGCTTTGCTCATTCGGGAGGCGTGTTGAGGGTGACAAAAGTCCTGGGCGCTGTTTGCGTTTGCTGAGGAACTTGCGTGGACTTGCTGTGTGGTCTAGGGGACCTGAGCACGGGCTTGTGCCAGCAGTGCTGAAAGCCGTTTGGGTCGCTGGGGCGCTGGCTGTGTACTCCAGTGAACTAAGTTGCTGCAGGTCGAAGAGTTCACCTTCTTCTGTATGCCTTGGCCTTGCAGCACCACCAGGAAAATGGCGTAAGTATGTGTGTGATCTAGGCGGTTTGTGTGATCGGTGTTGCAGTGCGCGGTGTTTTCAGGGCAAATCTTGTCCATGGCATAAAATACAAGGAGCGGTATTGAGCTGTCTTAAATCCTTTTGTTTATAAAAGATTTAGTACAGTTTGGGCCAATGTGTTGTATGGGGCTATGCACAAAAATGAGCTGTAGCATCCCATTACCTTTATTGAACCTGGTTCACCGCAAATCCCCTGGTCTCTGAGGAGAAGGGAAAGCCTTGGGTGGTTTATGAGGAAGTGGCCTAGAGAGCACATGTTCTTCACATGTTCTTTGGGAAGGGACTGCGGAGCAGCGTCTTTTCATAAGCCTTGAGCTCATCCCGCAAGCTGAATTCTGCCAGCCTGCAGATGAGAAAACCTGCACTTTGGGGACTGTCCTACTGGTCCTGCTTACCTCGGTGCTGGTGCTCCAGCCAGGGATGGATGATTTTCTGCACTGTTTCTCTTACCATCTGGCACTGACAGGAGCCCAGGGCTGGCAGAGCTGGATGGGTCAGCTACACGGGGATCCATGGGGCATCACCTGGGGTGGGCCTGCCATCCCAAAGCTCTGCGAACATCAGTGATGTTTTAATGCTAATAATGACCAGTATCAGAGAGCAATGCATTCTTAATTTGACTAGATGGCTGTGGTTTGAGGAGATAATTATTTTTTTTTTCGTATGGGAGGAAAAATCCAATTATAGCATGTCTTGTATTTTCCAGGTTCCAAGAGAGAGGAGATCTTCGACAGCTAAACCAGAGGTAGAGCATCCTGACCAAGACCATAGCAAAAGGTACTAGTTTTTATTATTGTGTGTCTGCCTATCTCCCTTCCCTTCTAGACCACCAAAGCTGCTGATGGAAAGTAACTTGCTGCACTGCAGTGTTGTGCTGGAAGAGAGAAATTGTTTGCTTTTACTGTGTGCCCCAAATTCTCATGCTCCCCCAGGAACAGGATGGGGATTGGACCATAATGTGGAGAGCTGAGGCCCAAGCAGCTCATCACCGTCCGTCTGCTTTCTGTATACTGGTGTCATACAGTCAGCATAGCAAAAGCCGCTCTTTTTAACACTAGGCATAGCCTTGTAAGACAGGCACCCCAAGGCTGCAGAGGTGACTGGTGACCCTTCTATTTTTGCATGCGGTTGCCTCAGTTGCTCAATGCTAATTTTCTTGTTGGGCACCAGCAGCATTGCTGCTTTGTGCATGGGCTGATAGGGAAGGACTTCAAAGTGCTTGTGATTTAGTTTTGAGTTTGTATTGTTTGTGGACTTCTTTAGTATCCTCTGGAACTCCTTTGTTTCTTCCTTCCTTCCTTCTTCTTTCTGCCCTCCCTCTCTTGTGCCTCCCAAGCAGAACATGATACTGATTAAGTAAATATTACAAATGTGAGGTTCACTCAAGCCAGGCTTCCACTTCTACCATCCTCTTCCTTTGGACAGACTAGAATGCATGAAGGACATGAGGTGAGGTTTTGCAGTCTGATTGAGCCAACTGAAAGACTTATTATTGAGAAGAGTAGTCTGGTTCCCAGCCATGTGTTACCACTGCTCCTCTCGTACCAGGTCTGGTCTTCCACTGACCCATAACCTAGCAGGACAAAAAAATTAAGCGGCTAGTTTTCTGCCAGTGGAACAAGCTGAACTGGCTCACCAAGGGGACAGGGGAGCATCAGAATTCTGCAAAGGAGATGGCAGAACCACATTGTGGGGAGGGAGAAAGGGAGGGCAGGCTGACTTAGTGGCTGCTAGCTATGAGGTCAGCTCAGCTACAGATCTCAGTGTTGTCCTGGCAGAAATGAGTGTGGTGGGATGGAGAGTGGGAAGTTATGCAAACCACTCCCGGGAGTCTCGATGTGGATTTTCTCGGGGGTTTGTGCATGAAAGAGGGGTGTAATTTCCCTATTAGTGCTTCCCGAGTGGCATGCAGTCCCAGGGCAGAAGAGCACCAACCTTGCTGTCAGTCCTCCTCCATCTGCCAAAGAGGAGTTTCACGGAGCCTGCATGTGCTGGTGTGTGGTGGGAAGGGCATCAAAGTGTTTAGTTTTGGACCGCTGTTTTCCAAGCAGTGATGATCTGAGCTGTTAACACTCACCCTGTGCTTCAGGGTAATTCATCTCCAAGGTGGAGTTGTTAGCCATGGATGAGCGGATTTTTTAAATGAGTTTCTCAGCTTTTCAGTTTAGGATTGAGCTGTTTTACACAAGCAGGAGAGTTGGTATCAGCTGTCCTTGTTCCAAAAGGCTGAGAAGTATTTCTACCTCTTGATTAATGAGAAAATAAGCTGTATAATTTATGCATGTTTTTTTCTTTGCCCTTTAAAGGAACAGCATCCCAAATGTGACAGAACAGTCACTCATTTCTGCTGGAGAAAACAGAGTCCAGGTTCTGAAAAATGTGCCTTTCAATATTGTCCTTCCACACACGCCCCAGATGGGCATGGACAAAAGAGGCCACCTTACAACTCCTGACACAACGGTCACCGTTTCAATTGCCACGATGCCCACCCATTCCATCAAAACGGAGACGCAGCCCCATGGCTTTGCAGTGGGCATCCCGCCAAGCGTCTACCACCCTGAGCCCCCTGAGCGGGTGGTGGTCTTCGACAGGAACCTCAATCCTGACCAGTTCAGTTCCAACACCCAGCCTCAAAACTCCCAGAGGCGAACACCAGACTCCACCTTCTCAGAGACTTACAAGGAGGGGGTGCAAGAGGTACCAAGAGAGGCAGTCGCTGTGTGTGTGTGTGCGTGTCTTGATCTGGATGGAGAGATCCAGTTCCATCTTCAATTGTTCTTGTTACGTGAACCAGAAATCTGTCCAGTGATACAAGAATAGAAGACTTTCTCAGAAAAGTGCATAAATATAACTTAGTAAATAAAACCTTCACAACATGAAATGATTTATCACAAGTAAATGACTAATCTTACTAGTGACAGAGCCTTTGGCTTGCAGAGTGTGGAAATAGTTATCTTGATCCACAGCACTGGGCCAGGTTTTGCAAGAGTTCAGCACTCTGCGGTGCTTTTGCAGGTACCAAAGCGAAGTGACTATGTCTGTAAGCTTCCTTACTGCCAGTTTCTAGGCGTGGTGTGTGTCAGTGGAAAACAGTTGGTTTATTCAGGGGCCTTGAGTGAGGGTTAAACCTAGATGAAAATCTGTGGGTTTTGTTTTATGGTACCAACTGAAAACAACAGCATAACTGCGTCTTGATTTTCAAGCCAGACCTCAAGGAACTGTGTAGCTGTGCCCTTTCTTTGAGATTTGGGAAAGCTTTAAAATGTTGCCCTAAGCTGACTCAGAAGGCTTGTGAGATGATGTGCTTAGTTGACACCCAAAAGTTTTGGATTAAAACCTTGCTTAAGTGTCCTGTTGGTACAGACCAAAAATCAGTTGTTATCTGATGATCAATTTGCCTGCCAGAAGTTCTGTGGTAACGAGTATCTGTTTAATCTTGACTTTTCTTGTTGCTGCTGTGTTAATTGTTGTGTTGTTTTGGTTTTTGTCTACCCCAGGTTTTCTTTCCTACTGAACTGAATCTCCGGATGGCCAACATGAATTCAGAAGATTATGTTTTTGACAGCATTTCTGGGTAATGCTTTAAGGCCCCCGTTTGCCGGTATCCTCCTGTTTTCCTACAATTTCCACGAGCAAGCAGTGGAGCTCACTCCCTCCTTTGCCAAGTCTCTGTCAGGCACTGGGGAGGCTCTGGGTCTCAAAACCACAACAGTGACTGCTGATTTGAATTTTGCAGTTCAAAATCCTACCTGTGTCTTTAAGGAAAACTACCTGCAGGGTTGGAAATACCACCCAGTTTCAGTTGCTGTCCTTGTACCAACTCCCTGTCCGCAGTTCAAAATCCTACCTGTGTTTTTAAGGAAAACTACCTGCAGGGTTGCAGGTTGCTGTCCTTGTACCAACTCCCTGTCCCATGGGAAGATGCAGTGCTGTCTGTCAGGTCTGCAGTGGTCTAGGAGTTGGCTTCCAGCTGTGTCCCTCTCCCTGCTCGCTTGCCTTGTTTTCTCCCTGCTGCTGAAAATCTACAGTAGAAATAGGAAGCATGAAACTCATCTGAATTCTTAGGGAGGGGAATAAACTAGTTGTTTGGTTAGTTGCAGTTGACCAAGAGGGAAGAGGAGAAGACTGTGGCTGCTGAATGGCTTATTAGCTTGTGAGTTTAATTTGATTGCTAATAGATACTTCTCTGTTCCATGAGAGCAGCTTGCTGCTCTCAGCCTGGATAGGGAGCTTCCAGTCTTGCTGATGTGTCGTGGGATTTAGCTTGCCAAGAATTTCTCTTAAATGTTCATTCATGAAGGAAATGGTTGAAAAAGGGGCTCATCCTGTTTTCCAACTTCCTTGCCTGTTGATGGCTTAGTGAGTCAACTAACGACTTTGGAATTTCTCCAAATTAAATGTGGAACGTTTAATCAGCTTTCCAGGAAAATGCCTTAGCAATCACTGCCCTCTTCGCTCCGTAGGAATAACTTCGAATACACTCTGGAAGCCTCCAAGTCCCTCCGACAGAAGCCTGGGGACAGCACAATGACTTACCTGAATAAAGGTCAATTTTACCCGATCACTCTGAAAGAAGTCAGCAGCAGTGAAGGAATCCATCACCCCATCAGTAAAGTCCGAGTGAGTGGCAGCTCTTGTGGGTTCTTGGGAAAGAGGGTGTGTACAATGGTAGCCTTAAACTCTTCCAAAGTGCAGTAATCTAAACCAGAGCATCAGTACTGAGGCCAGCTTACTCGCTCTCTTACGTCAGTGTTCGTTCCTTTGCTGTCCACCTACTTCCAGACCAACCCATCCTGGCTCAGTCTGTTAAGAAGTGGTGTCAGCACTTGTGTAAAGGTGATGCAACACCTGGAATGAGATCCTTGAACTCCAGTTAGGAGAACAGTTCTGCTCATCTCTGTTTATGACCCAGAAAGCGCTGCTGTCTGCCTTCCTGTTTGGCAGCAGTGTGCCAAGTATACTGTGGTGCGTCAGGTTGGAAAGCCTAAAGCAGAAAACCTGATACTAATGAGAACTTCCAAAACAAATATACTCTCTGGCTTTTTCTTTCATGTATTTGCGTTTTGGTGTTTTTGTCTTTTTTTTTTTTTTTTTTTTTTAATCTTGCCCCATCCCCCTCTACTTTCAGAGTGTCATCATGGTCGTGTTTGCTGAAGACAAAACAAGGGAAGATCAGCTCAGGCACTGGAAATACTGGCACTCAAGACAGCACACAGCCAAACAAAGATGCATTGACATAGGTAAGGAACACTCATTGCTGATGTCAAACTCCAAACCTAATTCCTTGGCAAGGTTTAGTTTTCTGCTAAAGCTTTGTTATTTTAAGGAAGCTTTGGATCATACTCTTTGCTCTCCATAGCTTTGTTGAAAGACCAGAGACCTTTTGATTGCTTGTAGTTTTTAGGGCTCCCTAAAGAGGATGATTTTTGCAGGATTTTGGTTGGCAAGCAGGCTGAGTTAGGGTTTTGCATTGGGAGATTTAACACCGCCCCTCCCAAACTACAGTTGCTTTGACATATACTGGTGCTTGTAGCTAAATTGCAGCTTATAGACTCGACGTGGCTGTCCTAAATATTGTGTTTCTTCAAAGGACAAGATACTTGTAGAAATACCTCAACGCTAATGATGCTCCTTCCCACAGCTTCTCTCACAACTGGTCTTTGGAACACGTAAAAAAAAAAAGAAAACACTGCAAATTTCCACTTGCCTCCAGACAAGGCTGGGGCTGGCTGGCTTCCAGTCTTCTCTGACTGAAGGCCGGGTTGTACTCTTCATCCCTTCCCTCTGTGAATAAAAGCAGGGATTAATCACTTGGCACTTAAAGCAGACGCGCATGCAAATCTTCGTTTGTTATTGAAGGAGTTTTATTGAGAGCTTATGCCCTTGCTGTAGAGGGTAGAGTTTCCTGCACATACGTCGTGGTTTAGGCCAAATCGGCTTCTGGGGACCTGGGGGACCCCAGGTGGGACCGACAGATGCTCCCCTCTATCCCTCTTCAAAGAGAGAGGCAGGTTATAGCACAGGACATGCGATATTTGGGATGTCTTCCTTTCTCACTGGAGTTTCTAGTTTGGAATTTCTGCCGAGTCCTGTTCTCCTCCTTCCTCCTGTTTGTTGGGTTTTTTTTGTTTTTGTATGAGAACCATTTCCAGCCTTTTTAATGATCCATTCTTAAGTAGAGTTTAGCTTCCTTTGCCCCCAAGAGTTTGCTGAGGAGTTGCAGTTTCTGGCAGCTTTGTGTTATTAAGGTTTCTAGATGGTATTGCCTCTTCCTCTCCCTCATGTATCCTTCTTTCTAACAGCTGACTACAAGGAGAGCTTCAACACCATCAGTAATATCGAGGAGATTGCGTACAATGCTATATCCTTCACTTGGGACATCAACGAGGAAGCAAAGGTATGTGACCATGATTATGTTTCCTGTCCTTTTAGCAGATTCGGGGATTGGGGGAGGGGAAGGGTGTGTGGCCTACCTGGTGATTAGCATGTAACAAGTTTGTTTACGCTCTTACATTAGGCAAAACCTTCTGGCTATTTCTTAATAGGGTTTGAATGTGCAACTGAGGAGAGCTTTGCAACTGCTTTAAGGTTCTTGGCAGAACTGTCTACCTGACAGACAAGTACTGACAAAAGGAAGCGCTGAGCATTTCCAGAGCAGATGAGGTGGTGCGGGAGGTGTGATGGAGCATAGCTGGGCTTGGCAGGGAGCACAGTCTCTTGGAGGATCCCCGCGGGAGGCGAGGGGCAGTTTCTGAGGGAGATAAGGCTGTGGCAATGGGCCTGCCTTCAGCAGAAGAGGGAGTAGCTGCTGCCATTGAGCTCCAAAGCATGTGTTGCAGAAACCGCAGATCCCAACACCCAGTGACCTATTTCAAATTAGAGCAGCCTCCTGGTGAACTCCGGTTTGATCTTTTTTCAGAACTGTGGGCACTATGGTAGGTGTGTAAGTACGGGCAGCTTCCCTAGCTGGTAGCTAACTGCAGCTGTTTGAAGCCACTCCAGCTTTTGAAAAAGGCCTGTGCATCTTCTGGGTGCTGGGACAGCAGGTCAGAGAGCAGAGTCACCTCTATTCCAAAGGCATTTGCTGGAGTTTGTGGTTTGCTGCTGGAGTCAAAGTGCAGGAGTTTTCTTTGGAGAGTTTCATTACTTCCTGGATTTTTGTTAAAAGTTGGGAATGGTTTCCTTCAGTTTTTGGAGGCTGGCTGTTCCCTTGCTAGTGCATCATGTGCTAGTCACTAGCATCATGGAGAAAACTACTGGTGGCTTCCGAGTGCTATGTCTAGAGAGAATCGTGGCTTCGGGGGACATAGGAGCTCTCAGCAGAGAATGCAAAAGTTGTCCTTCTCTCGAGCTGTGTGTGCCACTATGCTCTGCAGGAGGCACAAGGGATGGTGTCACCGCACAGAGCTCACTGTCACCATGAGCTTTGCTCTGTGCAGCACAAACTTTGGAGAAAAGAGAGAGGGGCGGGTTATGTGGGGGATGCTCTTGGGATTTGGCTATGTGCGAGAAGTTTGGGATGCTTGGCAGGCAGCAGCGAGGAGCTGTGTGTGCTGCTGATGAGAGAACGTTTCTGCCTCATGGCATGTGTGACGTTACTTTTGAGGCTGGTGTTCGGTGCCAGGCTTCCCTGTTCACCAGATTTGGATTCAGGTGAGTTGAGAGGGATGGCTCGGAGGGCCCTACCTCCTGGAGGAGACTAAAAGGCTCATGTGATTTTTATTTTTTTTTTTTGAAGCATTTTGCTATGTGAACAAATGGGTGAAGCTTCAGAAGGGCTGTCAAAAGGAGGCATTAAGTATTCTCAGACTGGTATTCTGCTGCCATAGCTAGTCTAACACTGTCCCATTCGAGGAACTCTGGTAAGCTGTGTCTGTGAGGTACTTGGAGGCTTAGGACTTGCACACAGGGATGGATCATGCAGACAGAGCAACGATTTCGGGTCCCTGAGGAGTCGGAAGCACTTCGCAGCTCTGCAGCTGCCTCTCTGCTGGCTGAGCCATCCTACAGCAGTAGGGATGTGCTGCTAACCTAGGAGGCAGGGCTCGGAGCTGGTGCTGCCCATGGCTGCCCCAAGGAAAGCCATCCCTTCCCACCAGGTGACAGAGCCCAGCCCTGTGAAGCAGGTGGTTATTGCCCAGGTGCTCTGCAGATCCCCAAATAAGTAGTTTCAGTCTGTAGTGAAATTGTCAATAGCGTCTTGAAGAGGTCTGAGGACCCTCAAGGTGGTATTTCAGCTCAGAGCTGAACTTCATGGGATGAGGTCATGAAGGGAGATGTGACCTAGACTGGTTTTGCAGCTACATAGGCAAATTTATCTCCAGATTCACAGCCATAGTATGCGAGACCCATATATTTTGAGTATTGATTTGTATGAACCTGCAGAGAGGATTCTTGATACCAAGAGTGCAAACCTTGGCTCCTGCGATCAAAATCGTATTAAGACAAAAATACTCTGGACTTTAGTGTTCAAAGAATAGGTATTTTTTAGCAAGTGCTCTGTGTGTTTAAGCGTCTGTTTAACTGTTTTTTTTAAAACCTGAGTGGATACGTTTTGTCAATGATTGGATTTCTTGCCAGTAGAGCTGCAGTTCTTTCTCAGTTCCTGTGATCTTATCAGGAGATGCCTGAGCCAATTTCAACAATTTTTATTGCATGGTTCATTTACCTTGCGTGCTCTCTCTCTTTCATTCCCCCCCCCCAGTCTTGAAGTACATGAAGAGGACAGAAAGTCCTCCACAGTAATAAATAGTGTCTTACATTTAATAAGAGCAGCAGTGGTGCATAGATTATATGTTTAACCAGCTAGCAAGCCTTGATTATTAGAAACTTACTTCCTGAGCCCTGGAGTTACCTGGACCAGAGCCAAATGATTCTTCCGGGGTTGCTGCTTCTCCCATTTCCCTCTTGTTCCCAGTTTGCTGTGGGAATGATTTGGTCCTGTGCAGTGGTGTCAAACAGGAGGTGATGAGGCTCTGTGTCTGGGCTTTCTTATGCAATTACTCATTTAGGCACCCAGGGCTCTGGGTGTGGGTCGCATTTAAGGGAGAAATAGTGTGTTATCACAGGAAGTTAGCAGCTCTGGGACCAGGTACTTGCCCTTCTTGTGCTAGCCCTCATTGTGGGGATATACAGGAATATTGGACCTCTGCTGCTTTGTCCGTGCAGGAGGATGTCACCTGCCTGAGAGAGTGCTTTGCCAGTCCCCTTGGAGCACTTTGAGGATTTTATAAAATACAGTTCTCTAGTGAAGAAACACTGTTTTCAGGTGATATGAGTCACATGCTCACTCTGTAGCAAGGAAAATGTGCAGATTTTGCAGCTGCAGAGTTGAGGGATGGAAAGGATGTTTGAGATGCCCTCAGCAACCAGTATTTCCCAGTTTTGTTGTGTTGGGAGAGCTGCGGGCAGCTCCAGAGCTTTAGACACTGGGTGCAGTGGGGAGGTCTGGCTCGTGAAGTGGTCACACAGCTAGCTGCGTTAGGGTGCTGTTTGTGAGCCCATGCGTCTAGAAACCAGGAGTATTTCCTGCGTGACAGACGCTTCCCAGTCTTGGACCAGATAGTGTCCATGGGTTTCCTAGCAAATGCTGTGTGCTTCTTTCTGGCAGCTCCTCTCTGCCCTCTTCTGTTGCTTTGGGACATCACAGGAGCTGCTAGAAGTGGCCACTCTATGGAATAGTGGTGGGTTAAGTATTCTCTGAGTGTGTTCAAGCTGGAAATGGACCCAGGATCGAAAGCCTCCTTGCTCTGAGACAGTGAAGGGAGCTGAGGGTGGGGAGGAAAAGACAGACTGCCCCGAAGTGGTGGTCCTGAGACTGGAAGGAGAAGCAAGGACAGGGTAGAAAGATCAACAGGAGATACTATGGACTAGGGAAGTGGTGATTCTGATTCCAGGTGTGTCCACGTTAGAGGTGAGGTCTGACCCCACCACCTGACAGATCAGGGAAGGGGAAGAATTGAATGAGGAGGCAGTCATGCTTTGTGAGGAGGAGGAGGGAGATGGTGAACTGGGAAATTAGTTGATAAACTGATGGGTTGTTGAAGTGGATATTTAGGAAAGCCAGCGCACCTACTCAGTCAGGAGCCATCCTGGTTGGGTGGAAGCGTGGTCTGATGAGTCTGACAAAGATGTGTAGCTGATACTCACTTGCATGCAACAGGTAATGCTGGTGTTACCCTGAGGCCTGTGGAGACTTCAAACAGTTTCCCACCCTGTCCTGCACGTCTGCTGTGTTGGGCAGACAGTCAAGGTGGGGTTCTTCTCCTGCAAACAGCTTTTAGATGTCTGAACACACGCTCGTCATCTTTCACTTCTATGACTTCATTAGAGACGGGATGTCTAGAGCTGGGATGGAGCTTTCTCTGGAGGTGCCTGCTTCTCCTTGTTGACTGAGCAGGCTTGGCCATCTTTTTAAGGGGATTTTAAAGGTAGGGAAGAGAGAAATCCTGTCCTTACAGCCCTTTTTATGTGTTTGACCTCCGTATGTCAATCAGGAGAAGCATTTGTAGGTTCAGGTAATGAGTTTTTGAGGCTGGGAACCGTCTCTTCCCAGGTCTGTACAGCATGCCTGGTTCTCCTTCTCATTGATACCCATTAGAGGTCTTTTAATGAAAATTGCCGCTATATGCATGGTCTAATGCACATTTCTCTTGAGTGTTTCCTGCTATTCTATTCATAATGTTGGCCATTGTCCTGTTACCTCTGTTGTGTTACCCGTTAGGCTGTGAAGCAAATTCTCTATCCTATAACTCTGGCCTGGGGACATGGGCTGCTCTCAGGTCAGTGGCAGTTGAACAATCTGGACAGATTGGTTTCTCCAGGGTTAACTGGCTTTGCTGGATCCTGCTTTCCTCAAATCCCGTCTGAGCTCCCCTGCCTGGTGGAGCAGGAGGGTTGGAGCCTCATGTCTGAACAGGGCGAGTTGTTGTCTGCACAGTGATTGCAAGAACCTTTTTGCCCCTTTTTATAGTTCTAACAGTGCCTTCCACGCTTGCCAACAGGTCCCCTCTGAAACGTAGCATTGCTTCCAGCAGCTCCCAGAGAAGGGCCCCCGTGGAGGTCTTCAGTCTGGCTTGTTTTAGGCTGGATGGTGGGACTGTAGCCAAAAATTATGTCACTGCACATTAAGGGCTCTATTGTCCTCCCACTCCTTCCCTCCAAAAAAAAAAAAAGGCATTGTAAGCCAGATGCTGTGTGTGAAAGGACCCTTTCTACTAAAAAGGGATACATAGGAAGGGTGTAACAGGGGCATTTAGAGCTGGAGAATATTGTGGTAGAGCTTTTTGCTGTCTTTGCACCAAAAGGAAGGTGATGTGGTATCTCTTAAGTGACACCATCAATGACAGAGCAATTAAAGCTGCTGCTTTTTTTTTGTTCAGGAAAAGTGAAAAGGTC